GACCGAGCACTATTTTTCGTAAACGTTAATCATTCGCAAATCTCGACCCTTGTCAAAATCAGTTAAAGTGATGAGCTGTTGTTGTGTTTTCTCCGTAAACCGTGCCGTACCTGCAATTATCACTAATGGCACCTGAAACGGTATCTCTCACTCTCATTATGGTCTCTGTTGCTTTGATGTTTTGACAATATGTAGCCATTACATAGTTTGATTTGTTGCCCATTCTCAGGATATTGTGTGCCCAAGTCCTTGTCAGGCTACCTCATTCACACACCTTCTCAGCAAATCAAACAAATGCACAAGTTTTGTTGTTTGTCCCTTTACGAGCATACGAGTAGGAATGTGTGTAGATGTACGTTTTGTGTCCACACAGACATGTAACAAAATCTTTTCAAGCTTCCAACTCATCCGTTTATATTTTGCAGGCTGGGCAGCAATCAAAGTTCTTGCCATGTCGTGATCCACCTCATCCACCTCGTCCAGCCCATACAGCTCTTCCTGCCTCGCTTTTTCACCCCCAAAACATCAACGGCATCTGAAGTTGATGGCCAGCACATAATGGCAGACTAATGACAATAATCGCCTCACTTTTTGCCCAGCAACGCACCGATATAAACCCGCACACACACACACATACACACATAGTGGCACACACAATCATACACACCCATTGAAAGCTTTGTGAGCAGTTGGAAAATTTATGGCCAAGGGCAGCAGCAGCGGACCATCAATGGCGGCTTAGTTGAGAGCGAGAGCGAGAAGGAGCACAGGAAGAAGGGAGTCTTCTGCTCAGCGGGACATTCGATTTATAAATGAGCCGTGCGTTGTGCTTATATGAAAAATATGTTAAATTAATGTGCCATAAAGCAAATGCGACGACAGCTGTGTGGGCAGAAAGGGGAGGGGATGGCAAAGGGGAAGTAGTAGGAGCTTAACGTTGCTTAACGAGGCCAGCAGCCACTGACTTGGTAGCAACTGCCAAGGTCACTACCCGTGCCTTAGCGGAGTATAAAAGGCAATGCCAAGCACTCACTTTATTAAATTTAAAATCAACTTTGTGCTTTGTGCGAGTCGCGCATTCGTGTTCATATGCTTTGCATGTCACACAGACAGGCCTTATACTTGTAGTAGTGAGTTGTTCATAAACACACACACACACACACACATACACGAACATATATATTTAGTTACATATGTATAGTCAAACACGTGCGGCGGTCGGATATGCGGCGTGCGCCATTATTGCGCCATTAAATTTGTAAGTCAAGCATTTTAATATTTGGGGCAAACAATGAAAACGAACCTACTGCACTGCACTGACGGCTACTGTTCCTACTTCATGGTGCATAGCATTGCATGCATAATACAGTGGAGCGTGCCTAAGCTGATCACCAAGTGTTTTCAGCAACCTAGTGTGGATAAAATTATTATCTTTATAAGCCAATAAGCTAAGGGCTCCATCTGCAATAACTGTTGCATTAGATAATATAACGAAGGTACAAACGGAATCATAAGGCTATGCTTATTGGGATCATATTTCGCTATATCACTATAAACAATAACTTGTTTTTTATTTTTTTTTAATCAGAAGCAAGAGACTGCGCGATCAAAACATAGTCTGCTTTTAGCAAAGGAGCATCTACCTAACAAATATTGTGGCTTAATGTACGAGTATAAATCAGACGATCAGACGTTTGCTTCGTCTACTTCCTCTATTTTTTATTTAAAATATATTGTAAATTATAATTTATTTAAAATAGAATAGCATTCAAAAGTTAAGCTAACCTAGCACAGACCTTCTTCTGATATTGACGAACAAACAAACGGTTGGAAAAGCGAATACTTTATCTATTCCCACTAATTAAAGATTTGTAATAATCAATTATTAAGATCAATTATATTTTATAATTTATCGATACATTTTTAAAATGAAGGAGAAGATGTGTACTTTATAAAAACTGTATACATAAGATTAGAAATTATTTACTAACAAGTTTGGTGGCTGAAGATGAAGCTGCCTCACTTAAGATCTCACATAGAAATCTATAGAGCAAAACTAAGCAGCTGATCATATCTATATCTATCTATCTATATATTTAAAAATGGAAGTATGTATGTTCCCTATAAACTCCGAAGCCGCTAAAACGATCACATTTTGTGGCAATATTTAAAATAGTGCCGTGGTTGATCCTGTGAAGTTTCATGGCGACTGGATAAACAGAATTTATTTCGATTTATCTAATTATTTTCGAGAATTTTGTTTTTCTCCAGAAATTACTCCATTAATAGAATTTTTCAATATTCCTTTCTTCTATTTTTTTTTTATTTAATTTTTTCTTTTCCTTTTCCAATAGGAATATAATGAATTCTGTTCACAGCGAATCAATAGACCTATAGGAATGTCTAATAGGACATAAAAACAATCAAGTACTTATATATAAAATATAATTAAACATGCAAAACCGATAAATCCAAGTTTTGTAGAAAACAGATGGCTTCCTAAAGCTAACATTTGTGCGCTAGTATTATATAAAATTTCAACAAAAAAAACTGGCCCTTAAACATTTAAGTACTTCTGCTACCATCGTTAGTTTAAATGTAAGCTCCTCCACTCAAATCCATGAGTATTGATTTTGTTAATTGTAGCAGCAAATTTCAATACTCACATTATAAGCTGATCATAACTTTATAAATTTAGTCTGGACCACCATGCCTAAGGAGGTTAGGTGCGGACCCAGTGGGCAGAGTCCTTACTGTATTATATGAGCACAAACACGCACGCAAGCTGCCACCAGACATGCAAAAGCGCGCGTTCGCGTTTTTATTATAACAATAACAAACAGCAACAACAAGAAACATAAGAACAAGAACAGTAACAACACTAACAACAATGGCAATGGCAACAGCAACGCCAAAGCAGCAAAAGCAGCAAAAGGAGCAAAAAAGGAGGCAGGCGATGTCAACGACGACGGCAGCGCAAAAGATATGCAATTTCGCATATGTACTTATATCCTAGCGACATGAAAAGGATCAATTGTGGCAAAACGAATTGCATACGAATGTGGGGCACCCTTCACTGCACCGCCAGCTCCAGAAGGTCCTTCAGCCAGGGGCTTTCAGCTCCCGGCGCTCATTTCGCTCGTTTCGTTCGCTTTGCTGACTCGCAGTCAGTCGTTCAGCTCTCGAAGCAAAACGACAAAGTAATCCCGGATTTGCATTTTATCGGAATGTGGCTATGCTTCTGCCGCTGATGCTGATGCTGATGCCGATGCTGCGCTGGCTCTGGAGACACACTTATACACACGCACACACACACACACACACACGTTGCACACACACATACACACACTGACACACTCGCATAGCCGTAAGTCAGTCATTTGCATGCGTCGCATATTTGTCGTTACAACAGCCAACTGTTTGTTATGCAATTGTAGTCAGGAGTTGTAGTCCTCTCAGTGTGTGTGTGTGTGTGTGTGTGTGTGTGTGTGTGTGTGCAAGTCTTTTTGTTTGTTTGTTTGCGCGTTTGTTTGCCAACGTTGGCAGCTAGACTCGGGCCAAGGCAGCGCCCAGCTTATTCATATTACATAAACTAACTGCTCGCGTCTTGCGTAACGAATTGAAATTGCAGCAGTCGTCGAGCTGTACGAGTTGTTGCAGTAGTCAGTAACAGCAAGGCGCACCAGTAGCTGTCGCAGTAACAGGAACAGAAGCGGAAATAGTTGTCGACTAGGCCAGCAAAGTGGAAAAACCAAAATGCGCTTTTTACCAACAAAAACAAAAGCATAAAGACAGTCAACTCGGTCACTAGTAACAGAAGAAGCAAACAGACAAAAATAAAGTTCAACGCAATTCACATTCAACATTGTCTTCCGTATCCTTGCAGAAGCGTGTCCTTTAGTGTCTGGCGTCTGTTGACATTTGTAATAAAGTTTTGAGTCGATTATATTGTAGAAAATCGAATCCAACACCACTGATACACAAAAATAATTTGATGCTTACTGTGTACAGAGCATAGGAGCTTAGCTTAACAATGCGAGGCTTTAAAATATAAAATATTATTAACTGCGCTCTATGTACAATTTAAGCAGTTTTTATATTTGTAAAATTACTTTTTAATATTACAAGTCTTCGCTTGGGGTAATCTGAGCGTATAAGAAGTTAAACTTGATTAGAAAGCCTAAGTATTGAAGCTTCTAAGCAATTACAAATATTATAATTCTGATATACAACAGAATTTAAAAAACCAGCAATATTTTTATGATTTTGTAATAAGATAAATACTTTACAAAATTATTATTTTTGAGCAAAAAATAATGATTGTTTTTTAAGTTTTTTTCCTTTTTTTTGTTTTTGATCAAAAATAAAGGTTATGTTGTATAGTAATTGTCCCTGCCATTTTCATAGGGAAGAAGGAAAAAAGTTTATACATATATATATATATATAAGCCAAGACGAACCCCTGTAGTAAGTTTTGGGCTAAAGAAAAACTTCCTTAAAAAATATGTTGAGGCACAGTAAAAATCAGAATTAATTATTAAATTTAAACTTTTTAATCATAGTGAATATGAATAGATAATCATATTAAAAGACATTGGAAAATTATTCGCTTTGTCAAGGTTTAAACAAAAAACAAACAAAGTAATCATTATTTACGGTACCTGTCTTTAAGGAGAATTATGAAGAGGTGAACTCGAATAGTCTTGTAATTTAATTTTAAAATAAATTCAATGATATAAATGCATATTTATTTGCACCGCCTATTGCGACTTATTGAGAACAGAGCGGACATAAAAATAATTATTGGATCAAATGCAATTGAAATTAGTTGACCATTTCACACTAATTTCTTGTGAAACTAATTTTTGATGAAATCGTTTGCACTTTAACATGCCATGCCAAAATATCGTGTCGAATTAGAAAATGTATTCAACGTATATTGTTTTACAATGGGAACAGCCTAAATAGTTTCAGTTTATAAGCAATTGTAGAGCTGTGCGTTTATCTTATGAACTACGAGTCGATATCGGAATGGTGCGTAAGTCCTGGAATGTGCCACAAAATATTATATTGAGTGCCCCCGAAAGCTTAGCCGGAGCATCACAGATAGACATTGAACATTCCCAGTCTGATTCGAGCAAGCTCTTGAGGCCCCCGCTTTGGGGCTCAGTGCGCCTCACATATTCGATATGTGCCTTCATCTCGATGACCTTGCATGTGGCCATGCGCAATATGCTGGGCCTGGTGGTGCTGCGAATGGTTCACCCGAGATCTGAGGATGAGTTACAGCTGCTGTCCAATGCTACTAATAGAAATGTTACTGCAAGAGACGCTCTTTGTGAAAGTGGTAGCGCTCTGAACGAGACAGATGTTCAAAATATAAGAACGGGAGATTTGGTTTGGACTCGCGCCCAAGAGCTCATATTTCCGGGCACCTTCTACTATGGCTATATTTTAGCATTGCCGCTGGCTGGCCATCTGTCCGACAGAATGGGCGGCAAGCTATTGTTCATCAATTCTCTCACATTACAATCGCTGACGTATCTGGCTCTTCCTCCTATGGCACATCTAAGCTTCAGTGCGGCCGTGGCGAATCTTGTGGTGTCCGGATTCTTGGCAGGCTGTGGCAATCCGCCGCTGTATCAACTTTTCACTGTCTGGGCACATCCCACGGAACGGACTTCGTTGCTATCATTCGCCTACAGCGGACTCACAGTCGGCACTATGCTCATCTATCCTGTGGCCAATTTTCTCTCGCGCTATGGCTGGGAGACGCCTTTCTACGTGCTTGGCAGCATATCCCTTTGCTTTGGGATTGCCTGTTGCTGGCTCATTTACAATACTTTGGATGACCACCCGCGGCTATCGGCCAAGGAGAAGGCTTATTTACAATCAGAACTGGCCGGTCGAATTTGTCCAACGAGTATCCCTTGGCGCGCTGTCCTTACCTCCATTCCGGTTCATGCATTTGTCCTGACTCACGCATTCAACAATTACGGCTATATAATGCTCGCTCTCCTCATGCCACGAATCTTGCACGAATCGATGAATTTCAAGCTCAAGGATGTTGGTGTTTTAGCGACCGCACCCTATTTAGGCAGCCTGATCTCCAAAGTGGTCTGCATTGGCCTTTGCAGCTATGCGGAGAGGCATGTGCGTGCCCGTCTGAATAGCTTGCGTCGATATTTGTTCAGCATCTGCATTATCATAGCAATTGGTTGTATTTCTGGCATTATCTATGCGAGTTGTGAGCAAAAAATACTGGTCGTTGTGCTTTTCGTAATACTGGGTGGAGTCTCCGATCTTGGCTACAACGGTGGCTATTGGCCCACACTGTTATATTTCGCGCCCTCCTTTACTGGCCTAATTCTGGGCCTAGCCAACTGCTTTGCACACATATGTGGCGCTATGGCTCCATATGTAGTCACAGCGATGGTAAAAACGGGCACCAAGTCGGAGTGGAATACTGTATTGGTGACCCTGATTGGAGCCTATGGCTTGGCTATGATTGTATTCGGCACCTGTGGCAGCTCAACCCTACAGTCATGGGATCCACGAAGCCAACAAAAACCAAACAAAACAGAAAATAAATCCAAGCCGAAAAAGGACGTTTTTCGAATTATTTAGAGCTTTTGCAATTTATTAACTAATTTAAATAAATGTTGTTTGACTGAATTTGCATATTTACTATTATAATTTTATGCTATTCATGTGATGAACAATTATTATTATAATAATTTTTTTATTCGGAGAATATTAAATAGATTAGTTACCGAACGCATTTCTAAGCCATTCATTTAATTTGTACAAATAGTTTCCAGAGACTGCAAATAATAATTATAATTTTTCTTGTTTTTCTTAAACGAAAAAATCACTTACTGAGAGTAACTTTAAGAGCGCGAGAAATATAGAAATATTCTTCTTTGAAGATAATCTGTGTATTTTCACCATGATTAAAGAATTTGAAATTTTATTTATTTGTTCAGAATATAATGAATAACTTTGAGTTTTCATTTACAACTCAACCAATAATCATTATTTTTTGCTTACAAACAAAACACAAGTTGTAATTTTGTAAGAAATAATTGGAAAATTCATATATATTCCTAATCAGTGTATTAAAGAGGTTCATTTTGGCTCACTGACTTAAAATATATATGTATATCTTTTCGTCTTATTATCTACGAAAAATAGCAAAGTTTTATTTGTAAGCAAAGAATAAAACTCAAGACTATTCATTATTTTATTAATTTTGTTGTTTTGTTGAGTTGTATATTATAACTAAATATTACACATTTTACTCTGAGCGACGCAATAAAAAATTCATTTTGATTACTTTATAATGTTTATAATAAAACTTGCAATGATTGCAGTCCCTGGTAGTTTCGAAAAGAAGTTTTACGAAAAGAAATGTAAGCTAAGCTCCCATATCCAAATTGTAGCCTGAAGTGGGAACAAATATTACTTAAATAACCTATTCCAGCTAAAAACTATTTATAAAAGCTCACATAGCAAGCGAGCAGGTAACAAAACGCGCTTCTCTTCTTTTTTCTTTTGAAACTATTAACCTCGGCCAGTTTGGCGAAGCCATATATTTAAAAATCGTTTGCATTCGAATCATACAATTATACTTTATACAAAATAGGATATAAGCGGTATCGGCATTGTCATTTTCCCTGTCATTTATATTGGCTAGCACAGGTGTTAAGAGTCAAAGGCTGTAGGCAGTTTGAAGCTGCTAACCACTTTTTAACATTTTGGCAGCAGCTTGCGGTGCGTATGCGTCATATTTTGACATTGTGCTTCCGCTGCACAACAAAATACGCTTTTATGTATACTTCTATGTTTGTGTGTGTGTGTGCAGGCGCTTATATATAAGTGTGTAAGTAAATGGCACGTTGAAACTACATACCGCACAAAATGTGCGATTTGCCAACTACGTGACGCTTTGTTGCTGTTGGAAAAAAGTTAGCAGGCGCCCGGGAGCTGCAAGAGCCTCGGCATCATAACCAGACCAGCTCAAACACGCAGCAGCTAACACACTTAAACACACACACACACACTCAAACACACGCACAGATACAACGAGTCAGTTTTTGTAGCTGCTCGCTTTGTTGGCATTCAACTTGTCCCATTTTTTAACGTTTTGCCAAAAAACGCATTAAAATTTGTTGCACGTCTCACAAAAATGCTGCGGCGAACTGGCTCCATCCAGCATACACAGGCGAGAGTTGAACGCACCAGCAAAAAATTACAACAGCAACAACGACAAGACATCGGATACACCTAGCCAATGGCAAATGCCAAATGATGTGCCACCTTGCTGAACACGTTGCTCACGAACACACACACACACTCACACGCACACACTCACACGCACACAAACACTTACACACACGCCTGCAAGCAGCTGGCAAGCCAAAGGCTAAGTTCGATGTCGAATAGCAACGCACTGCAGTCAAATAAATTTTAGCACCACAGCAAGGTAAACAGCAGCACATAAAAACAATTGAAGAGATTTTCACACAAAAACTCCTCAGCGCCCTTAAAGGGTTCCTTTGAAAAGTGAACGAACTCGCCTTAAGCTCCAAGCTTTCATTTAAACCGGCAAACCGGCAAACTGGCTTCATGCTTGCTTACTGTACAAAATCCGTTCTCAACTATTTAAACCATGTGCAGAGTTCATTGGAGATCAATTGCCTTCATCTCTAAGCACAGCAAGGAGACGTTCGAGCACCTATTTGAAAGGCAGACAGTGGAAATTGCTAAAAGCGCCTGTGGTCAATAGTTATTCAGGCTTCTCAACGTTTCCAAACTCAAGTGGAACAAAGGATAACATTTATTTCAATTTCGGTTGATCGAATTTCCAAACGAAACTCAGAAGTATTTTGTATTCCTTAGCAGTTAGATTTAGGCCTTTAAACAAATTTGATTAGTGTGTTAAACTTATATATATATATAATAGAATGTTTGGCTAACTAAAGCCTCTTACTCCTTTCAGAAAATCAGAATAGTTCCGATTCTGTTAGATACATTCCCTTTAGAATCGTTCATCTTTTATTAAGAACGGGGTGAACAAGGGTGAACAGACATTCGACTAGGTTAGTTGGCCCTTAATTATTTGAGTTACGGATCATAAACAATATTTAACGCTTGATACCGCGAGTAACCCCAATCGTTTGAGGAAGGAGCTGATGTGATCCAGTGAGCTTATTGACCATCTTTTTCCTCAATTTGTGTTTATGTTGGTTGGCTTCTATACACCGTTTTTTTTCAAAATAGCCTACAATTGCTTCTCAGAAGCTACAGCAAAAAATGAGGGGACTTATTAGGCGCCAAGGCTTTCATCACTAGATCGCTCTATAGTGTTCTGAAGGAGCTTGATTGATCTTTAAATATATAGCCCATATATTTTCTTACCTACTAGTATACTGCCTGTCCGGAATCTGCTTGATATGTCCTGTACAATATTTTTAACCTACACTTTGAAATTTTGAAGATGCAGTTTCTTGTACCCTCCCTTCATTACACTATCCATATATTTAACAACAGGCTATCTGCCTATGTAAACATCGTTGGACTTGAAAAAGTAGTGCAACCAAACTTTTTATATGTGTGCATAGACAGCTACTTGTATTTGCTTATTTTTACAATTTGCAGGTACATTTATTTTTTGCTTTCATTCTCTCCGTTTATTTGCTATTTTATTTTTATTTAAGAGTTTGATGAAAATTAAAATTGCTTTCTAAGCTCACGTCCCACTGTCGCTCAAAAGTTGAGGCACAGATTCTGGTATGGCCATCGACATTTTCCATTACCACTGCCTTCATCTTCACCCATGCATGTTAAATGTGCAATCTTGCCACAACTAATTACAACACATCTATCAGAACCACAAATGATAAGCAAGCAGGCATGTAGGCAATGCCAGATGGTCCAAAATACTTCAATTCCAAATTGAAAGGTATATATCTACGTGTATGTGTGTGCATGTGTGTGTATGTGTGTGGATCTGCTTTGATTTTTATTACACTTTTGTACAGGCGGCAGGCAAATGAATGAAATTGTAAATTGCTTTTAATTAAAAGCACAAACATAAACACCTGCTGTACTTTCCGCACGCATACAGACGCACAGTCAACAACAAACCGACTAGGCCACATACACACACACACACACACACTCACACTCATGCACGCACACATAAAACAAAAGCGGAAATGAAATCGCAGCTAAGCCCGGCCGAGCACGACATGGCAAGCAACATACATGACTTCAATGGCGGCAAACGGCGCCAGCTGCTTGTGTCTTTTGTCTATGGACGACTATGGAACTGTAGCCTTGTTGCTCTTGTTGTTGCACCCGTTGTTATTGCTTTTGTTGTTGTCTATTGGCTGGCATTGTTTCCGCCACGCACACACACACACTCACACGCATACAATAAACGCCATTGTTGGCGTATTAATAACCCAGAGGGAAGTCCACAACGTCTATACCCGCCAACGACACATATGCGAAGATACAGGCCAGGATAATATATATCCTGCGACGCACAGTGTCTTGATTTTTATGCTCTATGAAATGGCTGAGACATTAAACCGATGCCACCTCACATTAAATAGTTCTGTAGAGCGACTAACGTGCAGTTGAACCAATAATGGAGCGGGGCCACCATTTTGTTAGCTAATAACTTTTGACGAGTGCTTTGCTAAGACAATAGTCAACTAAATATGTAGCTTAATGAGCATAATCAAAATGCATTATAATTTTAAAGACCCATTGTGCGCGTCGAAGATTTTCGAATGCAACTGATTCTTCTTGAATTCTTCTTGCTGGGATCATAATTAAGCGCCTTAATATTTCCCATAAAAATATAATTCTCATTACTTCACAACAAAAATTTCTAAATGTAATACTTGTAATAAAGGATATAATACGTGTGTGGAGAAATTATTTTACGTAAAGTTTTAAAGGCTTTCATTAATTGTGATTTATAAAAGACACTTATAGGTTGCATCGAGGGGGAAAAAGTAACCTGAAATTCGTTAATAACATGCCTAAATCGACATGTCTCGTCGTACAGATAAAGAATATACATACATATGTACTATCTGAGTTCTGCCATTCCTCCTTCTCAGTATAATATATTATTCCTTGGACTCAGTGGATTTAATATTTAAAATTATTCAAATATTGAAACATAACTGATAAAATATTGGAATTAACCAAAAATAGATAAAAGACTTAAATTTTTATTTATAATATTTATATATATAATATTTATATAACATAAAATCAGGAAATCCCATCACATCCCAGAGTTTAGTTAGTTTAGTATTTCTATTTATAAATTTATATTGTAAACTTTTCAATTTTAATATTCAATATAGTATAAAATATAAAGAAGAGTTAGAATGTGTTTGCGTGTTTCTGAGACCGTTCCTATGTCCCTTGAATTATTTAATCTCCATTTTTTACAAAATTTCTTCTACGCAGTATATCGTGTTTTTATGAAAAAGTCTGTTTATTTTCTCATAAAACATAAATTAATCAAATATGAAAACACACCTAAATTATTGTATATAATAATAATAAGTTCACTTTTTACATTCCAGCTAGCCATCAATGTAAACGAACATAAACATTTATTTTTTACGTTGCACACACAAGTTAGC